GAGAGGTAAAAATAACCTCTAACAGTCCATGCGGGATCAATATTCATACATTCTACACTTCAGTAACCGTGTTGAGCACCTGGTGGGATGCATAAGATGTGACTCTTTCCCAAAAGGAATTCAGATTCCAGCAATGGATACAGATAAAATTAAGAGGCAATTGTCATACAGTGGAGGAAGGGCCATTCATTCATTTGATGGCTACTCTTGGGTGGTTCTGTGTGCCAAGTTCTCTGCTAGATTCTGAATGTATACTGGTAATGGTCTGCCTTCATGAAGCTTAAAGTCCAGAGAAGGCCATAGGCAGTTAACAAGTAAATGAACCCATAAATAAGTCTATGGCGACCAAACATGATATGAAAGAAACTAACAGAGTATGATGATAGAATATCAGGGAAACCCCATTTGGATGAGGTGGTCAGGAAAGCCCTAGCTGATGGAAGCACAGTTAAGATCTGAAGGATATAAATGAGCTAACCATGTGAAGAGCAGAAGGGAAGAACACTAAAGGTTACCAAAGGGGAAAGGTTACTAAAGGGGAAAGGGGGGTCGGAGGGATAAATAAGGAGTTCGGGACTAGCAGATACAAACTACTAGATATAAATAGATAAACAATAAGGTCCTACTGTGTGTGTGTATATATGTATCTGAATCACTTTGCTGTATATCGGAAACTAACACAACATTGTAAATCAACTATATTCAATTAAAAATAAAAAGATGAGTCTAGAACAGTGATAGCCATAGGCAGGTAAAGAAGATAAGGAAGAGAATTCTAGGCAAGAGGGAGAAGGATAGGCAAACATTCAGAGGTTAAGACCTGCATATTTTGAAAACTTAGAAGTAGTTTAGTGTCACAGGAGCATGATGTGTACAGTGGTGAGGAGGGATGCAGAGTGGAAGGCATGTCTGTAACGTGGTACAATGTAGGGAGAGCTAGATAATGAAGAACATTATGCCAAACAAGGAAGCTTATACTTTATCTTGAGGACAGTGGGGAGGAATCACTGAAGGTTTTAGATAGGTATGGAGTCGTCATCAGAGTTGCATTTTAGACGAACCACCCAGGAAGGAGTGCAGAAAACCTAGTTGGAGGGGGCACAATTTCAAGGCAGGAGATAAGGTAGAGGGCCAGTCCTCTAATCCAGACATTTGAAGAGGGCCTGCATAAAGTAGTAGCAGTTATGAGGGAGAAAAGCATGCTGGTTAGAGGAATATTTAAAATAATAAATTGACAGAACCTGGTCCAAAATTAAATTTGGAAGCTGAGGGAAGGAGAGGAATCAAAAATGATACCCACTCTGACTCTGCCCCCAAAATGGTTGCTTGAGCAGCCACTTAAATGAGTTTGCCTTTGCTCAAACCAAGGAGCATAGAAAGAAGAGTGAGTATATCAGAAAAGATGATGTGTGTCGTAGTAGACATTTTTTAATTGAGGTCCGTTTGGGCATCCAGGAGGAAGCATTTGATGAGTGCTTGGGTATTTGACATGGAACTCATCACAGAGAAATGAGCGGGAGATAAGGGCATATATTTGGAAGTCTGCAGCAATAGCTAGTTAACGGGAGCCCTGAAAGGAAGATGGGATCATCCAAGGGTGTAGAAAGAATGAGAAGGGGGCCAAGGACAGGTCTCTGGGAGTCTTCATATACTTAAGGGACAAAGAGAGGAAGAGAACCAGCTAGAAAACTAAAAGAGTATTGTCGCCTGGAAACAAGGGGAGGAAAACAAATTAGTAAGAAGTAGCCAAGTGGTACAAAATGCAAAAGACAGTTCAGGTAAAATAAAGGCGAATAATGGTCCACTGGAGACAGCAACAAAGCGGGGATTTCTCCTCATGGTGGAGCCAGTCTCAGCAGAATGGGGCAGGCAGAATACCTATTGCAGTGGGTCAAGGAAGAACTGGAGGTAGTGTGGAAGCTTCTTTTCCAAGACTTTCTCTTACTCCTAGAAAAGGCACAGATTCTTCTGTTAGACCATGTGTTCTGACTTGGGGTTTGAAAGTACGGTCACCATACTTTGGGGCGTCCTGTGAATCCAAAGAATTAAATGGTTTATGGAGAAGGAAAGTAGAGATTCCAGGGGTGTGGTACGCATTGAAGATTGTGAGCCATAAAGTCTGAAAAAAATCTTCCCTGACTCTAGAAGTGAATTTCCTGTGATGGAGAACAAGAAGGAACTATTTATTGATCAGCTATCATTTTATAGTACTCAGGACTCCATATTTAATCTTCATAGCAGCCTATAAGGTAAAAGTATTAACCCTGATAGCAAAAAAGTAAACTAGGCTTGGAGAGGTTTAGTGTACCTGGTCAGCCACCTGGTATACAGTGAAGTCGCTTTGTGATTCTTGAAACTGTATTTTCTTCTTCATACACAACAGGACTAGGAAAGCAAGGATTTCTCTCTCTAAGAGAGGATAAATGAGTCTGGAGTTCATGAAAAAGAGGGAGACCTATCACTAGGAACAGTTAATATGTGATTCCCGAGCTGGAAGAGGGCAGACCGCCATTTGAGAAAGAATTGATAAAACATACAAACTGAAACAAAGTCAAAACCAAAAAAGGCACCATGCAAGGTTAAAATTATGTGAATAATGATGTGCATTTGTTATTTTAATGTTTTCCAAGTGCATTTCATTTTGAATGATATACTCAGATAGTGCACATGGTAAGGGATAATTGAAAAAACGTGCAGAAGAATGGCTGCATTCAAAGAATAAACATACAGCTGCGAGGAGGTTAGGAGTCAAAGGGGTAAGCATATGCCCCGTCCCCCAGGGATCTCATTAGTGCACGAGTGACCGTATATGTAGAGGCTAAATGAATCTCACTGTTTGCAAAGACCCACAGTAAATGAGACAATGACAAATCAATAGTAATTAGGCCGATAGATTCTTATTGACCCAGATGTCTGAAACCAAATGCCCTGCTCTGAGATTCCTTGAGAGACAAAAGATTTATAGACATGTGCTTCTTCTTTTTTTTAATCCCTTTACTCTATAAGTGCAGTGATGCTCTTCTGAAGTTCAGTGTTGCTAGAATTAGTGCAGACTCTTGACTTCTGGCTGGAAAGGATGTTCTTGTGGCCATCGTTGGCCGTGTGACTGTGTTGGGCCAGGAGCAGAGAGAGCTGGGAGATAGAAAACCAGGGTGTGATCGTATTCTCCCCACATATGTGGCCCTGGCCCTACCTTCCGTGGAGACCTCAGAGGATCCTTTCTTAACACTATCATAGAATCATTCTAAAACAGAGTTTGAATGTAGGGGCTTTGACAAATAATTCCTGGCTGGGGATACAGAAAACACATGGCTTCAGAATCACAGAGAGGGTTTAACTTTGGACTCGGTCACATGTCTACACGCCTTACTCATCCCCTCTGTAAAGGGGTGTTAGCGGTACTCAGCTCACTGGGCTGTGTTTGAAGGCCAGAGGAGCAAGGAGCAGTAGTTGATGTTACTCTGGTCAGTGAGCCTTTTCCCAAGAAGATCTTCATCTTCTAATATGATGTAGGGCTGAAGATTTTTACAGACAGGAATGAGGAGTCAGGGCAAGAAGCAAGGAGAGTGCCTGGTAGGTTGGACTGCCCTTGCCTCCTCCCAGCACACTTCTCACACTTACACACATGTGCACACACACATTCTCACACTTACACACACGCACTCACATAGAACAGTTTTGTTTTTCTGTATTTTCTATCTTGGAGTTCCACATAAAGTTTTTATTTAATAGGTGTTTGAAAACCACTACTCGTTTGTTTCTTTCTTTACACTTAGTTTAGAAAACTTTCAGGAATTTCATGGGATCCAGAGGGACACTCACAGTGTCACAAAACTAGAACTAGAAATCGCTGAGCTGCACCCCTAAAACATTTTAAATGTAAATAATAAATATTATCTTATGTATCTTAGATATCAACCTCCCTTGGTCATTGATCTCCTATACTTTTTTTCTACCATTATTCAAGCCATGTTTAAGGCTGTGGTTCCAAGGACACCAGTGGGAAGTGGCACGGGATGCCAACCCACTTTCTTCTAGAATTGTCAGTTCAAGAGAAGGAAGCACCTTTAAAGAGGGGAAGGGTAACGAACTTTTGTGTCATGCAGTGAGATTTCACCCAGTGAGGTATTTTATACCCATTATATGCATGGGAAAACTGAAGCTCAGAGAGGTTAAGTCACTGGCCCATTTTACCTAGCTAGGACAGGTAGAACCAGCATCTGAATGCAGGACTGCCTTGACTCCCAAGCCCATCATCTCTGTCTCCCTCTCAGGTAAATAGACTGAGAGAATGAGAAAGGTCCTCTGACTCCCTCATTCTACATGTGAAGAAACAAAGGCTTAAAGAGAGAAAGAACTAGTGCAATGTCATTTGGTAGGTTTAGGTTGGAAACCAAGCCTCCTAACTCCTGATCCTAACTGCATTCACTCCATCATATCACTGCCCTTAGCAAACTCCTATCCTGAGTCGGGGAACCATCTGCATTCACCATCATATTATTATTATAATTAAGAATACTGATTTTTAAAAATCCTTGACATATGTCCAGTAGTGTACATTTTGCAAAATCCTGTATCTTCATCTACATAGTCTCCTTTGATCTTCACAAAACCCTATGAGGTCAGTTGGGCAGGGATTGTGATGGTTGTTTTTACAGATGCAAAGAGAGTGGTTCAGAAAGTTTGAATAACTTTCTCACAGTAGTGGTTACACACCTACAGTGGAGTAAAGCCATTCTTGGATCTGGTCTTCTGAGTCCAAACCTTTCCACCTTCCACCAGGACAGGCCTCCAATCCTTGATGAGAGTACAGCGTGATTTGAGAGTGTGGTTTGCTGATTTCTATGGGTTGGGGGTGGTTTTTGTGCTGAAGCTTTTGGGACCCTGCTTACTTTCTGGATTTGATATGGGAGTACAAATGATTTCTTTCTACAGAGCAATTTGCTCCCTGACCCTACCCACCCCCCCCCTTTTAAAAACAAAATCCACTTCTCTTCCAGATGCCAGAGTATCTATGCATATTTGAACAGTCACCTGGATCTGATTAAGAAGACTCAGCCCGTGGGTTTCCTCACTGTTGATTTACATGTTTGGCCAGATTTCCATGGCAACCGGTCTCCCTTAGCAGATCTGACACTAAAGGGCATGGTAAGTAACAGTCAGTCCTTGCACGAAGGTGAAGGCGGGCCAAAGGGCTACAGAGTTTGAAAGAAGCAAAGTGAGGAGAAGGCAAAAGAGGAAAAATAAACAAAGCCGGCCAACAGCCCACTGGGTTCTTGCAGATTCATTGCTGTTGTGAAGGCTCTTGCCGCTCCTCAGGATGATCTGCTGGAAGTTCTCATTGTTTCTGAGCCACCCTTGAGAGCGTTCAAAGCAGGATTTCTTACATGTAGCTACTGCTGCCTCTTTGTCCCACGGAGCGGCTGGAGGTCGCGAGCCCCTGCCTATGTAATCTTTGTATTTACATCAGTTTGAAGAGTCATGTTCTCCAGGCTGCCGGGTGAGTAAGTGGTAAATGTTACGACCTATGGTCTAGCTTACCGCAGCCACCCATCTGCCTAGGCCCTGAGTCAGGGCTGCTCAGAATGCATGCCAACATTATTAGGGTTTCAGATAAACTTTGGTAGAAGTAAAATAAAATTAATAACTTACGTTGGTGGTGAAATTCAGCTCTTAGTGACCTTCAGAGTCACTTCTAGTGCAGATATATGGGGCCGGAGGGGCCAGGATGACCTTGGTGGAAGAGCTCACAATCACCTAAGCTAAGAGGTAACATCCTGATGGCCAGGTGAAACCGGTTGCCTAAGAACAGCTTAGACACAGAGAATTGTGTTTGAGGATGGACGAAGCATGTGAAAGCTAGGGAAAAAGAGCTAAGCTACAGTTCCAAGAGGCCAGGAGAGACCACAAACAAGAAAAGAGGCCATGAATTCAGAACTCACATGTCAAGAAGTGGAGAGCAGAGTGTGAGGTGCATCAAGGCGGGGGTTTAGAATGGAGGCCATGAGCAGTGCAAGGTTTATGCAGTGCGTGACAGTGGAGCAGGCCTGCTGGCTTGAGGAACTTCAAAACTTAACAGGCTTTGGCTTTGTGATTAATTCTGCTGAGAATATTTTAAATATTTTTATGAGGCCAACAGAAAGACCCAATCTTTATTTTCATTACCTACTTGACATAAGCAACTTCTGCTAATAAAAGGGAGTCATGGTGGAAAGAAAAGAAATTGGACATAGGGAAAGTGATGTCTGTCCGGAGTCCATGAAGTGTGGCCCACACAACAAATAATGGTCTCGGCCTCCTGTTTGGCCCATGGAAGCAGAAGAGGAATGTCTGGAGAGGGCCACGTGGCCACAGGCTATATATAGCTAGAAAGCCATACTTTCAGGCAACTGGCTTTCTGGGTACAAACAGAGGTTAGGGGAAGCACACATTTTGTATGAGTACAAAAATCCATGTCTTAATTAGAGACAAATATCTAAAGCCAAATATAGGAGACACTTAAAATGTTAAAGAAGTGAAGAAGCATGACCAGTTCATAAAATGACCCCCAAACAAAGCAGGGTTGTATCTTAAAATGATTGCAGCTCTGAAGTCCAGGGCTTGGATCTGGAGTCCTTCCTTTGGGGTCCTTTCCTTGCCAATACCTGCTGTACCAGCTTCATCATCCAGCATGGCAGGTGCCATGGCTTCCCAGTGGCTTTTGTCTGTGTTAAAACCAACCCTGACATCCAGAAACTTAAGAATTACCGTCATTAGGATTCCAATAAAGGTAGCCCAAACACAGACTAGAATGCCAAAGGAAACGAGTGCTTTTAAGACTGTCTGTCTCACTAGAATAAGTATGTAATCACCAAAGGAGACTTCTTGCACGGGGACATATGCCCAATGGTATTAAAAATCCTGGTATATTTATCTTTTTAAAAGTTCTATTGTTTTATAAACATACCTTATACATCACCTGATGTTTCTTAGCAGTGATTTCCCTTAATAATTGCCCTTGGGTTAGCCTTACCTTTGAATAGCTGTCATTTGATGAATTTACCTCACAACACTGGAAGGAGAAGATGACCTAGATAAGATAGAAGGAAGGAAATTCTGGGCTAAAAATTTTCCCCAGGGCTTCCCTGGTGGCGCAGTGGTTGAGAGTCCGCCTGCCGATGCAGGGGACACGGGTTCGTGGCCCGGTCCGGGAGGATCCCACATGCCGCGGAGCAGCTGGGCCCGTGAGCCATGGCCGCTGAGCCTGCGCGTCCGGAGCCTGTGCTCCGCAACGGGAGAGACCACAAAAGTGAGAAGCTCGCAAAAATAAAAAAAAAAAAAAAAAAAATTTTCCCCAAAATCTCTCTTTTTTTAAAATTTTTATTTTATATTGGAGTATAGTTGATTTACAATGCTGTGTTAGTTTCAGGTGTACAACAAAGTGATTCAGTTATACATATACATACATCTATTCTTTTTCAGATTCTTTTCCCATTTAGGTTATTACAGAATATTGAGTAGAGTTCCCTGTGCTGTACAGTAGGTCCTTGCTGATTATTTTATATATAGTAGTGTGTATGTGTTAATCCCAACCTCCTATCTTGCCTCCCCCGCACCTTTCCCCTTTGGTAACCATAAGTTTGTCTTCCAAGTCTGTGAGTCTGTTTGTTTTGTAAATAAGTTCATTTGTATCATTTTTGTAGATTCCACATATAAGTGATGTATGATATTTGTCTTTCTCTTTTCAACTTACTTCACATAGTATGATAATCTCTAGGTCCATCCATGTTGCTGCAAATGGTGTTATTTCATTCTTTTTTATGGCTGAGTAATATTCCATCGTATATATATAACACATCTTCTTTCTCCATTCATCTGTTGATGGGCATTTAGGTTGCTTCCATGTCCTGGCTATTGTAAATAGTGCTGCAGTGAACATTGGTGTGCATGTATCTTTTATAATTATGGTTTTCTCTAGGTATATACCATATATATCATATGGTAGTTCTATTTTTAGTTTTTTAAGGAACCTCCATACTGTTCTCCATAGTGGCTGTATCAATTTACATTCCCACCAAAAGTGTAGGAGGGTTCCCTTTTCTCCACACCCTCTCCAGCATTTATTGTTTGTAGACTTTTTGATGAAGGCCATTCTGACTGGTATGCAGTGATATCTCATTGCAGTTTCAATTTGCATTTCTCTAATAATTAGCAATGTTGGCATCTTTTCACATGCTTTTTGCACATCTGTATGTCTTCTTTGGAGAAATGTCTATTTGGATGTTCTGCCCACTTTTTGATTGTGTTGTTTGTTTTTTTGATATTGAGCTGCATGAGCTGTTTGTATATTCTGGTGATTAATCCATTGAAGGTTGCTTTGTTTGCAAATACTTTCTCCCATTCCATAGGTTGTCTTTTTGTTTTGTTTATGGCTTCCTTTGCTGTGCAAAAGCTTTTAAGTTTAATTAGGTCCCATTTATTTATTTTTGTTTTTATTTTCACTACTCTAGGAGGTGGGTCCAGAAAGATATTGCTGTGATTTATGTCAAAGGGTGTTCTGCCTAAGTTTTCCACTAAGAGTTTTACAGTGTCTGGCATTACATTTAGGTCTTTAATACATTTTGAGTTTATTTTTGTGTATGGTGTTAGGGAGTGTTCTAATTTCATTCTTTTACATGTAACTGTCCAGATTCCCCAGCACCACTTATTGAAGAGACTGTCTTCTCTCCATTGTATATTCTTGCCTTCTTTCTCATAGATTAATTGACCACAGGTGTGTGAGTTTATTTCTGGGCTTTCTATCTATCCTGTTCCATTGATCTATATTTCTGTTTTTGTGCCAGTACCACACTGTTTTGGTGACTGTAGCTTTGTAGTATAGCCTGATTCCTCCAGCTCTGTTCTTCTTTCTCAAGATTCTTTTGGCTATTCAGAGTCTTTTATGTTTCTATACACATTTAAAATTTTTTTGTTCTAGTTCTCTGAAAACTGCCATTGGTAATTTGATGGGGATTGCATTAAATATGTAGAGTGCCTTGGGTAGTATAGTCATTTGGACAATACTGATTCTTCCAGTCCAAGAACATGGTATATCTTTCCATCTGTTTATGTCATCTTTGATTTCTTTCATCAGCATCTTATAGTTTTCAGAGTACAGGTCTTTTGCCTCCTTAGGTAGGTTTATTCCTAAGTATTTTATTCTTTTTGATATGATGATAAATGGGATTGTTTCCTTAATTTCTCTTTCTGATGTTTCATTGTTGGTGTATAAAAATGCAACAGATTTTGTGTATATTAAGTTTGTATCCTGCAACTTTACCAAATTCACTGATGAGCTCTAAGTAGTTTTATCATAGCCTCTTTAGGATTTTCTATGTATAGTATCATGTCATCTTCAGACAGTGACTGTTTTACTTCTTCTTTTTCAGTGTTGATTCCTTTTATTTCTTTTTCTTCTCTGATTGCCATTGTTAGGACTTCCAAAACTATGTTGAATAAAAGTGGTGAGAGTGCACATCCTTATCTTGTTCCTGATCTTAGAGGAAATGCTTTCAGCTTTTCACTGTTGAGTATGATGTTAGCTGTGGGTTTGTCATATATGGCCTTTATTATGTTGAGGTAGGTTCCTTCTCTGCCCATTTTCTGGAGAGTTTTTATCCTAAATTGGTATTGAATTTTGATGAAAGGTTTTTTTGCATTTATTGAGATGCTCGTATGGTTTTTATTCTTCATTTTGTTGATGTGGTGTATCGCACTGACTGATTTGTGGATATTGAAAAACTCCTTGCATCTCTGGGATAAATCCCACTTGATCATGGTGTATGGTCCTTTCAGTGTATTGTTGGATTTGGTTTGCTAGTATTTTGTTGAGGATTTTTGCATCTATGTTCAAGTCTCTTTCCCTCAGTCCAATTTTGGATAACATCAAAATAATCACCCTAAATCTATTTATCATGTTACGCTTTTGCCAGAACCTACAATGTGACTACTTTTTCCAACATTCATTCACAAAATGTGTATTTGGTGCTTACTTTGTAGCAAGTACTGCTAAAGTATAATCCTTACATTCATGGAGCATATTTCAAGGGAGGGAGGTGCTTAATAAAATGTTAAGTTAAAAAAATACGTAACATCTAGAATGTCAAGAAAATCCCAGTAGGGCAAGAACC